TGCATAAACTCTAATACTCTTCATAGGGCACTGGTATGGTTCAACTAGAGCATTATTTACAACAACAACCACTCCTTTCTCTTAAAAACACATAAAACAATTGGCATGAGCCCAGAAATACCCGGCCGGTTTCTCAAAAGCTGGACACTTTTCAAACTGGTCGTAAACGTTTTCTAGCGACACGTAGTCACACGCCAGAGTATAGTACAAAGCCTCCTCTATCCGCTTCATATTAAGTCTTTTAATAGAGCTATTACGCATGCTCAGGCATAATTTCCAAAGCTAACCCACATGGCTTAGTGGGGGTATTTTCAGATGATCTTCTTTACATTGCTATCACTGCTACAGTCTCCTATCAGGATTACCCTGTCTCTTTTACCTTACACTCATATTCTAACAAATAAATACAGTACTCAGGTTTAGATATTGCATTAGTCGGTCGTGCTAAAATTGAACCACAATCTTCGTAGATTAAGAGATATCACAGCACCGTTATATGATGCATATACTAGACATAAATTCAAGCTGGGATTACTGCACAACAGAACACACATAAACTGTATAAACTGTCGAAATGTTTCATACAGAAAGCAAAAGATTGGATTGAGTTTTTACAGGTAAAATTCGACGTCTGTATTGGGCCTTACTATTTTAAATATCACTCAGAAAAACCTATAATAAAGCAGTATATTTGTAGTGTTTTTATAGCAGGTTTTGGCTACGTTTCAAAGCAATTAATACTCGAAACTAAGGCAAATAGTATTAAATCCAATCACTTTAGAATATTTATTCATCTCCACTCTGTATTTATACAGTATAAACAAGATAGTATTTAATAAAAATAATTGACAGGATTTTTTCTTATGATCCGAGAGACAATAAGGCATTCTCTCTTAGTACCATGCAAATCTAAGGAGTTTTCATGCCTTTTACTGATGTTATATCGAGAATATCTTGAAGCTATTACGTTTCATCATTTCAATTAAATCTGATTTTTTTAAAAAAAAAAATCAATGTTTAGTTTTCGAGACATTAAATCCTTAAGTCCATTTACTTAGATGGAAGTTCTATTTTTGCTGGTTACAAATCTAGCTGAAGACGTGTTACTTACAAACAAAATCTAATTTATTGTAAATCACCGCTCTATAAAACGCCATTACTAAAATTAAGCCAATCCTTCCTGTATATTGCACACTTAAAGCAATGACATCACTTAATTAACTATAGCAGATTCAAACGAATCGACATTACTTAATAGTTCTTAATTACAATGACATCATGGTTGTTTCAGCGAAATGCATCATGGTATAGATAACAGCAACAAGATGGCCGACTTTGGATTTAGTTCAGTGATCATGAATTGTAGAGACAGCTCCAGGGAAAAAGAGAAAACATCAAGATTATCCATTGTTTTGAAATTATTTTGTACATGGGTACTCAACAAAAATATCTAAATTCGACTACTAGGGAGGGCGAGGTTTCAGTTTGAGAAATCAAAGTTAACTACTGTCGAGAATACTTGAGAAAAACATTCAAAACCCACTACACACTCGAAGTTATACCCAATAAAATAAACCTATTTTCTTAATACTAATGCCTGTTGTTCGCAAAAAAAAAGCCTGAAGCGGAACAACATGATTTCAGTTTGTACTTCATGKGAAAACCCAGAGTGCACTTCGTCGACCATGGCATGACGTCATAAGGGGAATGACCATTAACGCTTGGTGTTGTTTAAAATGCAATAAAAAAAGACGATTACTGAAGGAAAATCGTGATGTTTAGCCAAACTTGTGCATTTTCAACGTGATTATATCATTACAGGCGGTTCTTTATTGTCATTTGATTATACAAGTTATCTCTTTAACGCTTCGCGTCCCAATATTCAAAGATAAAGTAGGAAATTTGACAAGCTCGAAGTAATTTTATGATTAGAAGTGACATGAATGATTCAGTAAATTTTACTGCAGTTAAACTCTGAATTTCGACATGTCTTACAAAAATACAAAGTAAATATGCACGAGAAGATCAAGACTTTTTCATCGATTTTGCCAAGTTTTGTTTTTCGCTCCCTTTTTTCCAACGACGGAGAACAGTACGGATACGCTACAAAAACGTTACGTATCAGCGCTCAAGTGTGGACGGAATAACAGTGTAATAACGTCAATACGGTTGGCTGAACCATTTAGTCCTCGTTAACAAAACAAATTTATTGATTGACGCTCGAGAATTGTGAAAATGCAGAGAAAATGAACCAAAGTAAGTCATCATAAAGACGCGTGAACAAGCGTGGGGTGGAAACGACTCGATTTATTTTTAAAATGAGTTAGTTTTAGATGCCGTTGTTTCAACATAAAAACGTGATGCTTTCATAGTCGACACGACAGCGCATCCGGAAAAGCTTAGCGGCGAATTAGAAAAACGAGAGGCTTTTTCGATGATATCAGCCGACTTAGGAAATATAACTCGTTTTAAATCACGACTGATTTCCTTTTAACTACTTTTTGTCTCCTCTTTTAAACAGTTTGAAACACGCAACATACAAAGAGAGTTTAAGTGGCAGGATTTAAGGTATTTGGATTGGAGCTTAGTTTGGGATCATCGCAGCTGAAAAGTGACRAGTAGAAAGGTAATGTTTTTAGACGTTTTTTTTACTTTTATAAGAATCTTGAAGAACAAGGTTTCAGTCGCAATCTTTTTTATGGATATTTCATTAATTATTTCGATTTATGCAAAACTGGTTTTTCGTCTCAGAACATGCATGAATTGCCGTGCACGCAAACTACTTACAGCTCTTGGCTTTGTCATGGGTTAAAAGCACATTCTAAAAAAAGATTCATCAGTGTTCAAGCTTTCAGCTCTAAAGCATTTTCTATCGCAAGACTAGTTAATAAAAGCGTCTTGAAGCTAGCAAACCAGCTAAACAACGCATATCCTTACGCTGTGGGCTTCAATAATCTCCAATAGATCACTGACGATCTATCTGGTCTAGCTGTAGCAAAGGTTTTCAAAATGATGAATGTAGCTTCAGCTTTTATTCTCTATAATTCACGATGTACCCTATAGACCTAAAAACACTTATCTATCTGGTTACCGTCTCTCCTGCCATGCGTAATCTACACTCTGTGTTTCACTAGTGAAAACCTTTTCTTTTCTTACTACTAAAATTCACAATTTTATCAGCAATTATGAAACATTTCAGTCCCGGAAGACAGGCCATGAATGTAGGAATTAACAAAATGAATATTAAACTCCAACGGCGAAGCCTTGTCTACATTGTAAAAATCTGCTTTAAAGTCCCTCCCACACGTGAGAGAGAATGCCACCGCACTGATGTAGACAGACATGATATCTTACACATCGACGACACTCCTTTCACGTTTTAGTGGGCAATTTTTGTGGCTTATATAGATGGAAAGCTCACCGCCAATCTGATCTTTTTATCAGTGCTATAAAACATACAAAGAAGGTTTGGAATTATTGCCGTGAACTTACATACCATATTTTGACTATTCTCTGAAACTGTGACCCAATTCCCTCAGGCACCAGGAACACGAGGGCGGCATTGACTAGGACCTAGTATTCGTTCAAAAACTAAGATGTAATAGAAATCTGGTGACTAGATACTTTATCTAATGAATTAGCTGTTGTGGTCTTTTTTAAACGTGTCATACATGTACGTGCGTAACGCAAGTTATATGTAACGCGGACTCTATTTCACGCAATATACGTCTAGCTAAGGTCTCGCCCATACTTGTTTTACTGAAACTCCGTCAATGAACATGACAAGGTAATAGAACGGTACGAAAACGAATTGATGAAGACGATTTCTCTATTTCCTTTCCTAGTTATATGGCCTTGAAGTCTAAAAGTGTCGAAATTTTCTTGAGTTTTCTAGGAATTATAATGCAATTTTAGAAGAACTTTTCTTTGATTTCTGTTTATAATTTCATTTTCAACGCATTTTCAAAAGAAGAAATCATCAATACATCTATAAAAAAGACAAGATAAGAAATAAAAAGAAATTAAAGAAAAGAAATGAACAACATCTTTAGATTAACTCATCTTCGTCGAGTAATTGGTTTATCTGTTTATAACTTCATTTTCTACTTAATTTCATAAGTGAACAAACTTGATATAAAATATAACAAATAATATAACTATACTGAATAATTTGAAGCCTGTGACTGGCATATAGAAAATACCACTTATTAAATTACTTGGATACCATGGTCTTGTTTAAATTCAGCTAATCTTGTACTTTAGAATGTCAAATTTAAGGGTTTACAGCCACCTTAATCATGAATGACTAAATTTCAAGCAGTCATAATAGTTGGTTGGTAAATTACATTTCTAATAAAAACCTCTCGCTTGGATTCATAAGATTAGTTTAAGCCTTCATACTCGTTCAGATACTACAGTTATAAGTGGGGTCGACGCCCTTGAATTTCTAGAAAAATATGGATGGAAAAGGATGGAAAAATTGTTTAAAGTATTTATTGAATGGAAGCTGAACGTCTATTCAGATACACAAGTAGATATGGTATGGCTATAAATTATTAAGTATTTAATTTTAAATACGTAACGATGGTAAAACTGCCTTGCGAATTATATAAAAACAATCAACGCGGAAGACTTCAGACGGGCGTTTTACTAGACCTCGTCAACACTGTTACGTTTCCGTAACGATGGTACAACTGCCTTGTTAATTATATAAAAAAGCAATCGACGTGGAAGACTAGAGACGGGCGTTTTTCTAAGGTCTTGTCCACATTTTTGCGTTTCCGTAATGATGTTACGATATCCAGACGGTTAGTATTTTTTCAAAGGCTTCGACAACACTGTTACGTTTCCGTAACGATGGCACGATGTTCAGACGGTTATTTTTTTGCAAGGCCTCGTCCATAATGTTAAGCGTTTTCGTAACGATGGTACGATGTTCATTTCTCCGTTACTTACGTCGATCTAAATAGCGTGGCAAACTTCAAAAAAATTACGTTTACATTCGCTATTATTGTCGGAAAGAGATCTATTTGTGCATTTAGTTCAGAACGATGATATAGCTTAACGTTTGAATCAGATCGAACTTTTGCCGCGCAGCACGACTAGCGTTAACGTTTCACAACCGTCATGCCACAGTCGCGTATGAATCATGCCTAAGGACACGAACCCGGTCTCATAACAAGTCAAATTAAGCACACACGCAAACTACATAGTTCCATATCTCGATAATTCGACCTGGTTTATAACATCTGAACACGTCCTTTGTCATCGCCAGAAGAGATAGGCAATATAACAATACAGGAATACAGCCTAACATAGGGATCAGTGTTTTCATGGTGTTTTAAAGACCCTGACACACTTTGAACCCATTAACTATAGACTTTGAGTTTATAGTCGACAAGATGGCTTAAAGAGCGCCAATAATATCACCTAGTACGGAAAGATTTATTGGCTTTAAAGATTTAAATTTGGTTAACGGAATTGACGATGACACTTGGGAAATGATAATGATGAATATGAATCTTATGCCCAAGTATTTGCGTGATTTTATAACAGTTTTGGGCGGAATACATACAGCATTTAGTACAAAAGTATTACCCGAGACATTAATAAATGCCTCAAGGTCTCGAAGAAAAATTGTTTAAATTTCGTCAGACTACTTCAGAGTGTTATGTGAATAGCCCACGGCGAACTCTGTGAGTCAATTATAATTTGTGCGTGCCAATATTTGAATTAATTATTTTTTTTTGGTAAAAATTTTGAGATGCAATAATCTTTATCTTCAAAACATCTGGTTGTCTATTTCATGTGTTCGGGAAATAGTCTTTTTAGTGAGAACTGGTTTTGCCGGCCTCTTTCATCAAAAACAAAGTAATAAAAGACGGGTCGGCAGAAATGAACGAATATGTTTTGGAAAAGAAATGTATGCAATGAAAAAATTGAACCTCAAAAAACACGCAAAAACTGAGTAAAAAGAAAGATGAAAATGGAAATGGAAAGGAAAAAAATGAAACACACGAAATTATAATATGAATTTACTGAAAGATTAAGTCATTTGCATTTGAAATAGACAAGCTGTATATCTGATAACATTTCTAAATATAACTATTCAATAAGACTTATGAATTTTCAACTTTTTTCGTGTTTAAACAACAAGCGTGCTGCTCAAATACTAGAACCCTTACTTTGCTCATTTAAAATTGACTGTCTTTCCCAGCTATGTGTGTGAATATGCACGACTGAGACGCTTGCTTATCATACACATGGTTTGTATTGAATCGCGATGGGTATCTATACGCAAAGGTGTGCTAAGTACGTGGTTTTATTACAAACCAAAAGATAAATTAGCTTTTATAAGAGACTCGATCAACTTGCTAGGTTATTAGTGGTTTTACTACTCAAATGACGTGGTACAATATATGAAAACGAATCTTTTACAAGAAAGCGATCAAGATCAGAATCAAGATACATCATAGAAAACAGCGAGTAGTTCTTCTAGAGCGCAGTATCAGAGCTGTTGTTTTTTCTAGCTTTTCTCTCTGGTAACTGAATGGTGGTTTTGTGGTCTACTGTAGGAAACATTAAGTAAGTGATATTTTTCGTTCTGATGGCCATATTGATATGTTTTTAGCATTACTTTTAGTGGTGTTGTTGTACTTTCTGTTTTTCTATCGTTGCCTTAGCTGTGATGTTACGCCCTCTATTGTTGTCAAATTCATCTTATTATTTTTCATAAAGTATGAAAAATAAAGAGATAATATGATATGTAATTATGGTATTTATATTTAGGAAATGCTTTAAAAAATCAGAAAAAAATATAGAAATTGGTAAGGCCGAATTAGACTTTACAACCTTTTTTCTAGAACCATCGCATGCAACCTGCCCAAGTCGGCACAACTGTCGTAGAGATTCAAAATGATTGTTTGATAGCCCTACTCCAGCTGAATCCTTGTTGCAAGGGTGACTTAACGCCCAATTTCCTTCAGCTATCGCATGAAACTTGCGTAAGTCGTCCCTAACATGGCCACAACTGTGGTAACGGCTACAAAGCAACTGTTTTTAAACCCATCCAACAGTTGTAACCATGTTAGGGATAACATACGCAGGCTGCAATCGATAGTTGTAGGCAAAAGTTATGACGTCTGATTTTCTATTTGTATGACAAGATGGCCGTATCACTTCGACCTTACCATCTGTATTTTAAAAGTGACAACCTTTCTTCAATTTGTTGTATCTGAATTATTTTAGTAAGATAATTACTTTAGTGGGAAACCTATGTGCGTCATTGGGTAATTTTCATAAAAAAACTGCTTTATCTAATATATATAAATAGGATTTCCGGAAAGTAACAATAGCGACAACAACACATTAGAAAAGAGGGTCACGATATTACSGTATTACGTCGATACCACAAGCTATTTGAACTAAAGAGGAATTCCCATTATATCCTGAAAATAATTAAAGCGTTGCTTATTTTTTGCTTTTAACTCTAAAATGTCTTTCAATGTRATAAAAATGAATTTCCAYAATAAAACCGCAAGCTGATGTCCAAAAGTGGTGTTTTAAAATTTAGGCAATGTTTGCGAAACTAAGTAAATCCTGTGWCGATAGGAGAGTTAAATAGTGGTCAAAATGAAAAGATATGGATCATATAATTCGTAAAGGAAATTAAAATAGCATCAGGATATATTGAAGTTTTTCCTTCTTATTTGAAGGCATACGCGGTAGATAGCTTCGGTATAGTGACGTTTACACGAAGATCATGTCGTTTAATGTTTAGTTTCGACTGAAATTTTTGAAAAATAATAATAAAAACATAAAATATAAATAATAAAAAAATGTCGTGTGATTTTGTTGTACATTTTAATGCAGTTTTTTTGTCATTTCTCTTATAATAAGAACAAAAGCTTATTTCTTTATAATCGACTTTATACAACTTGAGTTCCGATTTTCTTTAAGGCACAACCTATGACGCTCTCTGTTTTTTTTTGACTGACAAACCCACCTCTCAAGACCTGAGATTAAGATTAATTTTAAAAGATTCTAAAAATTARCTATTCTTTTATAAACATTAAAAGTGTGTCCGATTATATTACAAAGAAAAGTTATGCTAATTCGATTAGCAATATTCAAAAATAACGACAAAGAGGAAAAATAACATCTAAAACACGTCAAAAAAACGTGGAGCGAAACYTTTCTTACAACTAACATCCCACGCGGAATAAAATCTCCATAATAAAGAAAGTTAACAGTTGGATACGTAAATCCAGAGAGTAAATTTTATATTTGATCGCCTTAAATGATATTATAACGCTAAAATAACTATGGAGGATTAGTCGTTTTAGGTAAGGATGAATAGTCCAATTATCACTAATTTAAGGGATCTGACGACGATTCGTTTCTTAAGATTTGATAACCTGGATAATTACCATCTATACTAAATTGAATATTTGATCGTCTTTAATGGTATTATAAAGCTTAAATAACTACGAGGGATTAGTCGTTTTAGGTAAGTATCAATAATCCAATTTAAGGTACTTAACCATTAAGTTAAGGGGGCTCACGAAGGTTTATTCATGACGATTCAAATAATTCTTTCAATAATTACCAGCTTTTTTGAAAATTATAGATCATCAGTTAATTGCATATATGATTGTCTTTAATAATATGTAACGTTGAAATATCTTTAAAGACTTAGAAAAAATAAGTCCTTTCACAAAACAGTACCGTCCATTTTTTTAAACTTAATCGCTAAGAAATTAAGGGGGCTCACGGCTATTTATCTTCAAAGATTTTACACTATGAGTCAAAATCAAGGGGTCTCACAAAGACATTTAATTGGCACATTTTTCACAATTTGAAACATTTAGTGAATTGTTGTAATATGAATATTTGTAATGATCAAAAATATCATATAACCAGTTAGTTTGGGAGGCTCACAAAGACTTATCGCTAGGTTACACGAATATTCAATATTAATCACGAATTTTCAAACCATGAAAAAGGTAAGTAAAACAGAGCAGAATTCTTTGTTTTCTATCATCTAATCAACGCTATTTAGYACTATTTGGTTAATCGTTTTTCATGTTTTCACTGTTTTCACTTCAGCACTGGGATATTTTTTGTCGTTAATCAATTATTTTTGACGGAAATATGTTTATCTTTACGTAAATAATGYGCTCTGTATAGCAGTTTAAACAGTGTGATACTGCTCTAACTGGGAAAACATAGCAAGACGAATATCAATCGAAAAGACCAAAGGGGCGCAAGTACATCTGGAGTATATTTCATATTGCACTTCAATAAAAGTATTTACTCTTAGACAGCCAATTCCAAAATCATCTTCGCTAATATATCATAAATATATCAATATACAGGGTCTCATAWTTAAGTCTTATATTTTATATTTTACTGCCGAAAAATTGAATAAGTCTAGGTAAGCAAATTGACAACAAAAAAAAAAAAAAAAACTGAAAGAGAGTTGCTATCGTATTTATGTAGAGAAAAACGCGAAAAATAGAAATTACCCATGATGTAGTATATGAGAATTATACATATGAGCGGACTTGATTTTTTTCAAATGGTAGTATTGGATATCCTTATTTCAAAATATATCCAATTAGTATTTCACAATATAGGTAAGATAAACAGTGAAAAAACTCGTTCTGGCCTGAAAATATCTACCGGTCCCGCATGGAAAGCTCAGTTTTTTGTGGCTTTAAATAAATAACTGCATTAAGTTCTCATTGGTCATTTTTAAGCTAAATATTTTGAACTCTCTGCTTCGTCTTGTGGGTTTTTGAAAAACAATTCTCACTATTTTTGGCTGCTTTTTGGTGGAGATACCAAAGACTAAAGAAACCGYCGTTACATGACAATAAAAAGGTAAACTCTTTACGATTCTCAGGCATCTTTTTGGATCGTTTTGTACAAGGAAAGTGTTTTTTTTCTCTTTATATATATTATAATTATGAGGAATATGTTGAAAATGTTGCCATTAGTGACCTCCCCCACGAAGTGTTCGGCCGGTAATTGTACCCTTCGAATGCAGAAACGCCTAGACTTCGTTTGTGACAGTGTTGAGAGGAGCATTCTTTGTCTAAAGCGGAGCAGTGTAGATTAAACACAGTACTGACGTGCGTTTCCACGTTGAGTAAATAGGAATCGTGATTTGTGGGTTCAGTTTATACACAAATCATGTCAATACGCACCAACTATGATACACTTTGCGGATCGACTTTGAACTGAAAAGCATGCGACGTATTTCAGGTCAGTTTCTTGATAACATCCTAAAAACTTTGGTACTAAATTGTTAGAGTCTAATAAGTGAATGTGATATCATTGATTTTCCTTTGTTTATTCGTGAAAGTAGATAGAAATGGGTGAAAAAAGGAATAGTTTTGCTGTGTATTTCAATGCGAGTTAACCAAAAAATTTCATTTCTCCTTATAATCTCGTGTTATTGAATTTATCACATGTGAAACTTGGCGTTTGAAAGCGACCAAATGTCACAAAAGGTCAATGGGAGCGTGATCTCGCACGGTCGAGACCAAATTTTATTGTTTTCTTTTTCACTTATGGAGAGTTTATTGTATGGTTTTAATAGGATTAATTCACTTATCATGGTAAAAATGGATTTAAGCTGATCGTGAGTCATTTATTKACTGTTCCTGCGTGTATTTCCTTGCTGTTTTGCGTTTTTTTACTTCTAAATCCCATCATCACCGGAGCTGATCCTTAATAGAATTACATAATAGTTCGGGTTTCGTGGCTTATTTTGTTAATAACCAATTATCATGGCCCTCAGGCACGTTTCTACTCCATGTAGAGTTTGTCTGAGAACCTAAGCAACCGCAGATAACCCTACCTAGTAGCGATCTTTCATCTGGGGCGAGATCTAGACACGAATTAACAAGTGAGAGCGTGAAGAACAAACAAATAWCACATACTATTTTCACCTTTTAAGGCAGTGTTGACATGAGTTCGTGTGGTCTGTAAGTTCCTGTGCATTCACTAACGTCATTGTGTTTGGAATTGTTTCAGAAACCTGAAGTGATTTAGATGAAAGAGAAAGCAACAACAAACACACTATTGGAAAGAAAGACAGCGAAAACAGAATGAACGCGTCCAACGTGAGYGCCACTCTTCCTGGAGCGCCATTGGAACTCACAGCAAACAATATCATTGCTGCTGTTTTTGTTTCTCTTTTAATTCTAGCAACTTTAGTCGGCAATGGYCTTGTTTTTATCAGTTTCTACATGTTCACMGACCTCAGGACGATCTGYAATTATTTCATATTGAGTCTAAGCTTGGCCGACATACTTGTAGCCCTCCTAGCCATGCCATTTTGGCTGCAACTTCAACTAACGAACAACAAATGGCTATTATCTCCTGGACTGAAACTGTTTTGGGACTGTGTGGATATTYTATGCGGGACAGCGTCTATAATGAATCTAACRGCGGTCAGCTTTGACCGTATGATGGCAATTACAGCGCCGTTTGCCTATCCTAAGACTATTACATCAAAGAGGGCTTTAGCTGTCATCGGCGGTGTATGGGTCTACGCTCTAGCCGTYGCGGGTGCGCGAATCAATATCATGATTTGGCCGGGTAGAAGYTTTCTCATATTCGTATCCATCGTTACSTTTYTAYTGCCGTTTTCCGTCGTAATCGTCATGTACGCGATCATATTTTTTGTCGTACGTACACAAGTAAAGAGAATCGGGAAGAACCACGCGAATGAGATGAAAGCTGCTAAGACTATAGCAGTTGTAATCGGAGGTTTCYTAGTGTGTTGGTTGCCATTTTTCGTCATAGTCGTAGGACATGCGTACAGTAAAAACTTCAAGCCKCCGTACGCGCTCTTTAACGTRATTAAATGGCTAKCGTACTTTAATTCGTGCTTGAACCCTTTGATWTATACGTGYATGAACCGTACGTACAGACGCGCGTTTAAAAGACTTTTTACGCGCTGTTGGATTAGGCTCGACCCTTCGGGAGAAAGACGCGCGAAGTTAAACCATTTTCTCAGTCAGGGTCATACTGGAGCTCTCTTAACGACTACTGTTTGTGAACAGCAACGTAGCAGAAGCAGYAATCTACAGGAACTTGACGCATTTGACAGACTCTAGGAACACTATGGACTCTCCCAAAATACGATTTACGTAGATTACCTTACGTAAACATGCGTATACGTACGTACTTCCTGATAAAATACGTGCCTGCGGTAAAGAACTTATAGCTATGGGAATTATAAGAGTAGACTATGGACTYTCTCAAAATATGGTCTACGTGGATCACCCTTCGTACACGTGCGTATACGTACGTACTTCCTAATAAATTACGTGCCTGCAAAGAACTTATAGCTGTGGGAATAAGAAGCGTTAGTTGGCTTCAAATAATTGAATACGGATTATCCCGATGCGGCACACTGCGTTTACGTTCGACCTGATAAAAATACGCAACAATATAGAGCTCATAGCTATCCAAGGGAAGAAGAAACGTAATTAAAACACAGGTTTTAATGAAATGATGAGAACGATATACAACCGGAAAAAAAAATTCAAGTAGAGACGTTTTATATAAGGAAATCGGCTTAGATCAGAGAAGATTACGAAGATTACGAGAGTAAAACGTTTCCACAAAGACTGTAGTTTGATTAACTACAGCTATGACAAATATTCCTAAAAACGTACCAAAAATAACCTGAATGAAAGACAACTTAGTSAGACTATGTCAACAGGCGAAATTAGAGGAAAAGAAAGACTTACAGTCACTTATATCAAAGCTCAACACATAGAAGTGGTCTCCTTTTAAGGAACTACAATGCTATGGATCAAGTAGATATAGGTTCAAGAATTACAAAATTCATRGCGTGATATTGTAGGCATGTTTTGTTATCTTATGGAGAACAAACAGAGCGAATTTCTTGAGTACACAGATGGTTTTGAGTGTTAATACCGTGTGAAATTCGTTCTTGACCCTACGCATGCAGACGAGACAATCCAAGTGTTATAAGCACATAAAAAAAAWTTAACCACTTCAAGTCTTGGCACTCAAAACGTGAATATAGTCCGGGTTAACGATATTGCTTCACAATGGCGTCGAGTGCAAGCACAGCAGTCAATTACTTATCAGATAAAAAGGCTTAAATTAAATTACACTTGATTATGGAGTTTGCCATAAGCTTCCGAAAAAATCCTCGTCAATAATCCCGATGTAAATGACGTCCCAGCTGATATATGACCATGAAAGGGAACCGGCTATTCTGAAAGTAAAGATTAAATGTGGAAAAAAACATTAAAAAGAAMTATCGCATTAGATTTGGATATCACAAGAAAAGACCAAGAAACTGATAAATTGAACTAAAGACCATTGCAAAAACTTAAAAATATTCGCAAGCAAAACGCAGAACTTGGCTGCTTAAGTGTTGTATAAGTAACCGTGGCAACCTACGATGTTATCATAATCCAGCACGTTTCATACAGAGAGTCAGAGGGGGGTGGGGTGGGGGTGAATTCCCCCCTTCCTTTATAATGATAAATTTATGGAAAAACTATAAACATRTGCCATTTTCTGCGGATTTATATAATATTAGTGTGAACTGACGTTAGACTATCGCACCTTGGYAGTCACTAATTTCATTGTTTAAGATTTAGCCTCACATAAAGCAATCTGAGAGGGTGGGTGTGGGGAATTTTTCCTCCCTCCCATTCATCAGAATAGCTACGGTTCATTACGTATCATTACGTTTGAGTTCTAAAATATTACCATTCACGCAATCACGCCACTACGCCGTGTGGGATAGCCTCGGCAATCATACATATTTCATACCAGAGCATGCGCAATAGGTAAATTTTAGTCTTACTAAGAAGGACTGCAAACGGTCGCCTTCTAAATAAAAAAGCAGGAAAAAATTCAGCTGTGKAAATAGTTGGTTAAGATGACTGATCCTCTTTTAAAGAAAAAGGATTATAATTATTACATTGTAGGACGCTAAGCTTATATGAACAAGAAAATAATACTAATACAAGATAATAATAATACTTTTTTTTCGAATCAATAAAGTATTATTATYAAAGAATTATTATTAGAAATGGCATTTACATAAAAATCCGAGATCGACAGAACGTATATAATAAATTACATGAAGATACCGCCATGCATATACAATATATAAAAGACTAGAAAATGAACAAAATACTAGTCTAATACTGATTACTGATAAATAAAATATTTGGATATAGTCGTGTATATAAAATAAATATATGCATAGCATCTTGCGCATATATAAAATATTAGGATGATATCGTGCATATATAAAATAAGACTTTAAAATATCATGTCAATAACAAATAACAGTCTGACATATAAAGAAAATATTTGGATAGCTATCGTGTACATAAAACAGTATAAAGACATGTAAATAACAAATAATTGGATATTTGCGCACAAATATTTCATGTCCAAAAAAATTAGTATAATACGATTCATATCCATTGTATAAGTTAAGAAATAWAACATCTTACTTGCATTGAAGAATTTGAGAGACTACTTGGATTTAAGATGGATGAATGGGAAATTGAATGAGAGGAGGGGTGGAATAAATGAAGGCTGGGATGATTAATGACAGGGTAGATGATTTAATGGTGGAATGAAGAAAACAAGTTGAACGAGAGAGGCAGAAGAGCTTTCACAATTATCTCATTTTAATAATAAACACACACAAAAACGAATTGAAACTGCTCTTAAAATTCATTAATTATGTACTGCTAAAAATATGTTATAGTTAACTAATTTTATGACTAACTATGTTTATCAGCAGTTAATTCAACTTTTCCCTAGCAGGCTTTCTAATGTAGTAATGTTTTCAACGACCGTCGTTAAAATGACACGTATGCCTGACATTTGTGTGTATGTTTATAGACGTCTGCATAAAATTTCTATTGCTGAATAAATTCAATATTTTCTCATAACTATTAGGAGCTAAAATACTTATCGATTTCCTTCAAAACACTTCTGAATCTTGATCTTTATATACAAAACGTTTTTGTGCCAAATAAACACCTTTGATTTTAACGGAATAACATTGGATCCTACATAATTTATTCTTTAAATTCCAAAATACAATGATTGCTGCTATAACGCCATAATTCTAAAAACATTTTTTTAAGAAATTCGCATATATTTTAAAATTCAATTAGTTCAAACAGTACTGTTAGTTAATACTTTTTATAGAAACTAGGTTTTGTCGGTTATACAAAAAAAATATCCCCACCCCAATAATATAAAATGTTGTTAATTAAACAATCTTTGAATTTACGAAATTATTAGATTATTTAAGGAACAGAAAAATGATTGATTTTAATGCCTTCGTTAATTAATTCATTGATTATTCGTCGAAAAATTGCTAATTGATTGATTGGATGATCAACTGATATAATTATTGATTTATTTGATTTATTGATTACTAGATTCATTGATTAAAGGATTCCTCGATTAGTGATCGACCGATTAMACATTGATAAATCGGTTGATTGATAAATTCATTGCTAGATTGATAACTTGATCGATCAGTTGATTGATTATTGAATGATAGATCGATTGATTGATTGATAATTCTTCGTTATCGACTGATCAATTGACTAATTGATTAGTGGATTCACTATTGATCGACCTTTTACAAAATCGATTCGTTGATTGATTGATTGCTTGATAATTTTGTTAATAAATCAGCGCCTTATTAACTATGTATCATTTGAAAGAACGGATCACATCAAGTCAATCCCAGATAATAAAATCAGTCAAGAACCACTGTCTTAATTATCTAGYATGTAGCCACATACCTGAATGCATGCATTTCCTTGCTATGTTATCTCACTATTCTATCTGATCTYTGACTTCTAGCTTGCAGCCTCTTTAACTTTTCCAGGTTTTGTTGTAAGACCAAGTTGTGTGGATCYAATGATAACGCTATTTCGTAATGACTGCGGGCKTGWGTGTAGTCATTCTGTTGGTTAATAAAAGACTAASATTACTTGAGGAAAGGGAAAAGGGAAGAGAAGAGGATCAAGAAAAGATGTGAAGTGAATAGAAGAAAACAGAAGAGAAGAGCAACTCAGAATAAGTGTGAGAAAAAGTGGTAATAAAAGAGAAGATATGAAAAAGAAGATCAGCGAAGTGAATAGGAAGGAAAGAGATGAAAACGAAGAAAAGAGAAAAAATATGAAGGGCAGGGAAAGGAAAWGGACAGACCAACCTGCATATGTAGAATTACACCAAGATTCATATGCGCACTTGAGTGGGTGGGGTCAATTCTTACAGCATTCATGAAGCTCTGCGAGAAGATTCAATAATTCTTATTGTCAATAATTTAATAATTACAAATAGTCTTATCKTAATTACCTGCTTAGCGTCATCGTAACGTTTGACGTCTTTTAGTAGATTACCATGGTGATAGTGGAGGTCAGCGGTTTGGAATTTTGTCAGGGCAGCCGWGAGGATCTTGATCGCCTAGTCATAGAAGAAAAAAACATTATTGAGGAATAAAGACATTATATCTATCGTTAATATCATGAATGATGATGATGATGATSACAAYGAAGAAGACGAGTTTGATGAGMAGTGACGTRACTATRRTRTAGTTAAGACACTGACAATTGAGCGGATGATTKCAACTTTCAATGATGCCGAGCTTGATGATGACTCAGTAGCCAAGATGATAGCGAGGCYAAAATATGAATSTGGATCAAGATTAACGACGATAAGATGCTAAATGACGTTGTTTTGATGACGAAGATCACAAAGATGATAACGATGACGATCATGTCTATTAGTGTTAGTAGTAGTGAGAAAATATTGTAGAACTGGAAGTAGCTGTAAAACTAGCTTTGAGTATCAAGGGTATCATAATCAGGAACACATGAGTCTAGTGGTACCTCAGTAATCTGTCCTGATTGTTCYAATGCTGAGGCAAGGTTCTTGTAGTGTTGTGATTTGTCAGAGTTGAGGTTCAAAACCTTTGCTGCAAACTGCACGGCATCAGCATGGCGACCAACGCGACTCATCAATATCCCCTATACAAATTCCAAAATGTACAAAAAATGTTGGACGGACAACAAGTACTTAGTAAACAGAGAGGACCAGATTCAAGTTCATTATCTAAACATTGGATGTTTTGTGCATAATGGTCGATGTTGATAGAAAATTTAGTCTAACGGCTGGAGAAAACACTTAGAGCAAGGGAGAGAGCCAACTTACAAACTCAATCACATATCACCATTATGAGATCAGCATTTTAACCACAATTTCAACAAATAGCTCACAAACGAGTAAGATGGTCAAAGCTAAAGACCCAATCAGGAAGTCAGACAGACAGACAAAAGCCTACAGAAAAGGAAAAATGACTTACTAAGTTTGACATGGACTCTTCATTTTTAGGGTTGATCTCCAAGACTTGATTCCAAGCAGTTTCAGCATCAGATAACCTGTCTTGATTGTAGTACAAAACCCCCAGTAACTGAAGGGTAGACTCGTCTCTCTTGATTGATAAAGCTCTAAACACGATATTTACAGTAGATATGACCACTGAGAACACATTCAGCACTTATCAAGGTGGTGGGGGGTGGGGGAAAGACATATATTATGCCTCTTTTATGGACATTTTTGAGGTGAGGTACTGCTCCTGCACACTTGGTGTAAAATCATTGTGGATCAGTCCAAATAAGTGACTTACTTCTTAAAAGCCTTCTCAGCTTTGTCAAACTCCCCGAGACTCTTCATCAGTCGTCCCATGTTTACATAGGCAACAGAATGATCGCCTTTCAGTTTGATTGCTTGCTTATACGAATTTAATGCTTCATTATGCTTCCCTATCAAAGAAAACGACGATAAAGTGAAACTATACCCCTTGAGATACAAGACAAGCATGGGCAAAGGCACTGACCATTGTCAACTCAAAAGGTACACTCAGGTACGTTTTAAGATGGAGCTTGCAGCTGTGAAGGGGACATTAAAGTACATTACCTGTCTTGACAAGGAAGACCCCATAGTTATTATAACCGTTAGCATTATGAGGTGCCAGTGCAAGTACGTCCCTGTAAAGAGCATCAGCTTCTGCCATACTATTTTGCTCACTTAACAAAGCAGCGAGATTAAGCATTGCATCGGTGTATCCWGGTTGAAGCCTAGAAAAATAATGTAAACAACCACTAAGCCTCTTGTTTCTACGTGTGTTTCCCATTTGAATGTCCTGGCATTTTCCAGCATAATCAATTGCATCAACATTGAGTGAATTGATGCTATTAAACCAGTGCCACATCCCTAGGTAAAATGTGTATAAAATTCACCAGCATTGTACTGATGCCTTGGTAGCTTGCGTTACCTTATGGCCTCTCTCAGCATCTGTTCTGCCTTTTGAAAGTTCTTCAACATTCTAAAGTGCAATATTGAGAATTGTAAGATATTACTTTAATGACAGTAATTTGGTAAATTGATTGTTCATGTCCTTGTTTGGTGTTTATTTGATTAGTTGATAAGTTGATTGGTAAGAACTGAGTTTGTTTGTTTGCCTGATTGCTTAGTTAGTTGGTTGGTTGTTAATTTGGTACTATTTTTGATACTTAATTCATTCATTCCTTGAGAGTTATCTCTCAATATTTATTACACTTACCCAAGTCTTACACCAAGATTGAAGTAGGACGTAGCATGCATTGGGTCATACTTGATAGCTATCTCAAAGTGTTTGATTGCTTCCTGCCATTGATGAAAAATCAGTTAAAATCAAGCATGCAATTACCGGTAATGTGAACAAGAATCATAAGAAGCGATACCTGAATATCATTGTCCAGCAATGTTCCAAGATTGTTGTGAGAACTCACATGATCAGGCTCCAAACTAAAAAGATTGAAAACAGGATGATGAGYGGAAAAACAGATGAATGAATAAAAGGATGGGAAGATGAATGATGGATTTAATAAACAAGCAAATAAAGTATTATATTAAGAGTGATGAACTAAATGAAAGAAAGGATGAATGGATGAAAGGGAAATAAATGAATGAATAAAAACAAACAAAAACAACTACAGTCAACTCTCGCCATTACGGTCCGGACACCYTTGGGAAAGTAATTTAGTGTCCRTCGTAGTGAGAGTCTGCAGTGACGAGAGTTACTTTCAGTCATTTCTTTGTACTTTTCACAGGGGATTCAGTATTTTACTGTCCAAAATATCAAGAGTTGACTGTAAACCCTGAAGTCTCTGCACTGAGGTGAATAACCAACCTAGTTCCCAGGCGTTCCTTGCTTCCAGCTAAATTTTCGTAACATTGTAGAGTAACCCTACCCTTMTGTGCTTGCTCCAGGGCTACTAGTCCCTGAGTATAATGACTGGGTCTAGGCTGATGAAAATGTGTTTCCGATAGGAGAGAAKARGACATAGCATAGGTAWGTGTCCTCAAMTGTTTCCACAGGGTTCCCAAGGATRSAAAAGTGCTYATTTTCAATCATGAGTAACTTACTGTATGGAAGTCCTGTAGTGTTGTATGGCTTCTTCATGTTTTCCTATATCCTTTAAGTAATTGCCATAGTTGTAATGTATTTTGGCATTATGAGGAAGTGTGTCCACACCGGATCTAGGTTAAATCACATAAAACAATCCATCCATCAAATAACCAATTATAAAATAATCATGAACCACTCAAATAATTCGAATAAATTCTGGTTTTCATAGAAGTAAACTGATAACAAAATAAAAGACAAAGGAATAAAGTCAAGTGTGAGGCATAAGACATCAAGATAAGAGCATTCATCTGACTTACTTGAAAAGCGTTTCTCTGTTTCTCCAAACCTCATTTCTCTTGATAGTTTTAACACAGAACACAGCAATMAGCAGGAAGATCCCAAGTGTAATGATAGTGGCCTTTGTTGTCATCACAGTCTTAGGTTTATTTAAGCCATTTTGTTGTTTAGTTGGTAAAGGAATGCTAGTTAGTTGTTTTGCTAGTTTATTTGCTCCATACGTAACCAGTATACAGAATCCCATACTGTAATAAATGGATAAATAAATGAATAAATGAACAAATGAATAAATGAAAAAAATGAAAAATGAAAAAAATGAATGAATAAATAAATGAAAAAAGGATAAATAATGAATATGTTAACAGAATGAATGGATAACAAAATAACTCTATGGAGTGTTACCACTTCAAATTGATGCACACCACAGTACTGACAATTTGGACTAACATACCTAGGAATGTAAAGAATCCTCTCCGCTACAACAAATCCTACTCTAAGAAAAATATTACTGGCTGGTAGAAACGGTATCACTAGTAATATCAATCCAACCAACAGGGCATTATGTTCTCCTTCCTACAATAAAACAATTAAAACTGTTATAATTTCATGTGAAAAGGAGTGAAAAACAGTGGGTATTAGTTCAAAAGGGGGCAGAAGTCTTTTGTTTTGTACTCTAGATTAAGCTGCTTATAAATACATGGTGAAAGATGGAGAGTACTAGAGATGAAATAGAAAAAACATTAAACAAATTCATATGTGCTCTCCATATCTCCTGGACTATTCTTGATCAATCGTCCCACTACTCATCCATGATGAGCTTCTTGGAAGAGCAATTACCACAGGAATCCCAAAAGAATGGTAACTGATAAGAAGGCAATTTTATATTCTACCATATCATACTTATAACAGAAGAGTGGAATACTGTGCCCACTTTCTTAACTAAAGCATGGTATATCTAAGTCACATTTGGACATAGTTGTGTAAAAAGATAAATTAAACACTGTAAAAAAGTAGAAGTAACTTACTAACGTTTCTGACGTTAATCCTTTGTCTGAGTAAAGTCGCTTTTAAGTTGCATTTTAGCTGACAAAGGATTAACGTCCGAAATGTCAGTAAGTTACTTCTCCTACTTTTTTACAGTGTTTAATTATCTTTTTACACAACTGTTTCTTTAGAAACACCGACGCAGCTCACACTAGTTTACCACTAGTTCCCACCATATTTGGACATACCTGTTTACATAAAAGACAATGACACACAAGAATTCCAAGGACAATAAAAAACATAATGGTTGCTAAGTTACGAGGGTCCCATACACTCTCAACCAATGGAATGCTTCCACCCTGCCAGTCATAGCAAAGCTTATTGGGAGATAATAGAAGCCAGGYATTGAAGGYRAAAAGAAAGCAGTATGTCATGATACGTGTTGATAAAGATTCAGCAAATGATGCAGGGTTGTCCTGCTTGATAAACTGTGGTAGACTACCGCCAAGCATCCATATACGAAACAGAAGTAGGAATATTGTCTGAAAGGAAGAGAGGGGGAATCAATAGTTTTATTGTCCTAGAAAAGGTTTACTTGACAGATATACTGAGTCAAGGGTGCAGTGAGTATATTTTATAATTTCATGGGAGTTTTGAATTTTAAATATTTGATGATCAATTTTCCCCCTGGTAATTTCGTCCCCAGTATTAGGTAATTTCACCCCCAATATTTATAGCACTTTATATTTTGTGCATTTGWTCATTGACTTTTGCATTATGTTGGCTTCCCAAATAATCATTACAATCCCTAAGATTGCCACGGCGATCATGGTGATCCTAGCAATTGTAACAATTAAATAGAAACCAGGCTCCCCCACATACTTTGGGATTTCCTGTCCCTTACATATGTTTGAGAAGGCACAAAGATCTAGTTTTCCTCAAACAAATATTGTGTTTTCTGTGTGTCAAAGGAGGGGTAAAAGTTGAAATTATCATTTGACATCCTGCAATATGAAGTATAGAAACTCCTTTAAGGTCCGAATCCGACAAATTTCAAGGCACAAAGATCCTTATAGAGAAAATATCTGGGAAGGATAATACATACWAAATAGACTATATGGGTTATATTACCATGCTCATTAAAGTGATGACTCTTTTGACAAGTGGTACAGGAAKAGGAAATACATTGGACCAGCCATTTTTCCATATTCTGAAGATCAGAAAAAAACATTCAATCAATGATGTCATATCATCTTACATACTTACAGAGTTACAAGAAGCCCATTTTTTATCCAAGATAGACTTATAACCGATTCTTATATAAATAGTACAAACTAAAGTGAAATGTGTAAATTTTTGCTTCTTGTAAGTGATGTATTTTTATCTTCTGTTAAAAGATCTTCAAGCTTCTTTTTTAAAATAWGAACCTGATTCAAATTTTAGGCTAAAAAGKCTGTTCTTATGTAAATGAAAAAAGTTGATATTTTTAGGCTAAATGGTACTTGAATTCTAAGCTCTTAAAAGAGTAAGTACTGCATCACATTTGATTATTGGAAGAATAAATGAATGAATGGAAGGATGAATGAATCCGCCATGATACACAAATGGATGGATGGAAATTGGAGTGAAATTTGCATGGATTGGATTGAATAAAATGATAGATGGATGGGTGTGTAAGAAAAATAAAAACATGGAATAAACACACATTTAATTTGTAACCATTAACCAATCATACCTATGCCACATTTGATTCAAGACAAATACATCATATAAGACACAAACAGCTAATACAGTAATCCCCTGTTCCTTGACCAGCATGGCCGTCCCACCAAGAACAAGACAGGTTATTAAGCTAAACCACTGATCACTGCCAGTATTCCTTGTAGATCTGAAAAGGAAATTATTGTAAAACACAAAAGTCAAAAMAATACCATAAATATTTCATAAGATGTATGAATTCAATAAGCCTTTTTCTAGTTCAATGCGAGTGACTGCTGTTGTAATAGACAACAGATTCACTTGCATAGAGGACAAAAGAAAGCATGTAAAAATGTTGACATTACAATAGCTCTAGAAATTTGAATCTTGAGGCTTTGCCTGAGCAAGATGTTGAACCTTCTGGGAATACAGGCTTAACGCCATTGTAATGACAACATTTTTTCATGCTTTCTGTGCCTTGTTTTTGGTAAGGTCTCTGTGCATGAAAGACTGAATCAGCGGTTGTTCTCTTTGAACGGGGAAAAAGGTGTATTATAAGCTGTAGATTACTTTTAGCACATGATCTCATTTAGAATCTGTCTAGGGTCTCAACTCAGGTATAAAGTTTATTCCTAGGAAGGTCTTCAACATATAATCCAACACTTAAAATGCACTTGTCAGTTGTTGTACAAAGTCCATTCATTTCAAAGGTTGTGAGCAGTTTTGCAAGGGAGAGGAAGGGGGACTAGGGGGGTAGGAGGTGGGGATAAACATGATGAAAAAAACACAATTAGAACAATTAATGGAATCAAACAGAAGTAGTTCAGTCTGCATCACTATTGGTCATTACTATGGTATGATTTGATTGTGAACTTCTAACCTGTAAAATGACAGAAAAGACAGCAAGAACAGAAGGCATGCTAGTACATCAGCACGCCCTACAACACCAGTCACCTGCAATAAYAAAAGAATACAGCCATTTTAGAATTAAAGTGGAATATTCCCAAAAATTAAACCTATTCAGTTATACGATGGGTGAAACAGGAGGCTGACTTTCTGAAAGTCTTTGTTGGGAAGAAACAATGTTTTTATATTGCAGTTTGCTTAGGGAAGTGTTAAAATGTTATTTTTTTTTCAATTCTTTTTTTCCTTTACTTTCTGTTCCTTTCTTTCACTCATTTTCTCTCTCTTTTTTTCTTYCTTTTTTCCCTTCAAAAAACAACAACATTAGAATGGCAAAATATGCACAGTCAAACACATATTAAACGCATTCTAATAAAATACACACATTCAGTAATATATACAAATAAGGTAAAACTTGTTCTTTGGCCCTTAATGATACGATWTCTCCAATACAAAAGGGCGTAAATAATTAAAGAGTTTATATTCGCGTGTCTAGCCTCAAATTAGATAGGAGTAATTAAAAAATCCGATAAATTATAAACTTACGGCTTCAGTATGCACAGGGTGAGTAGCAAATATTAACGAAGATACGACAGCTAAACGTATAGACTTGAACACGAGAAGCTCGACAAAATGCAGAAATACACAACACACCAAAACGTGTAGAAATACATTCACGCTATGAAACCCGAGAGGGTCGAAACCATGGAATAAAAAGTTTAMGCGGAATGTAAGCACGCACAAAGGTCTATAGGACTTGTGGCTTGTATTACTTGACATTGGYTTCCCCCAAAAATCATTCTTGAAGACGTCCAAGAGCGAAGTGTTTCCATGTACATCCAAGTTGTCTTTGATCGCAAAAATATCGTCATGGACCAGTTCACATTGAAAACTGTTAGAATAGCTGATAATAGCTAGTCCAGCAACAATTCCATACCAAATCCCTCTTTTGACATCAGGAATTGTTAAATAACAATTTGCATCCACRCTATAAAGCTTTTGTTGGTCTTTGGGSATTATTCGACGACTTGTTTTGGGTGCGCGAAACTTCAAATCCGCCGCCATGTTGGCAGAATTAGTGATATATAATTCCCATGAGACGCATAGCGCTGAGTTGTCACGCAATCAAGAAAGAACTGGTAATTTATTATAACAGAACCATAAGCTATAAATTAAAATTTACATACTACAGTAATATCCTTAATGTTTTTAAAATTGTCATCTATAGGCTACAATGTATCTTAACTACTTGAATAATACTACGCTAAAATCACAGGAGCGTGACCAGCAAYGTTGTCGTGACGTAAGAAAACTTTYAGGCTATGAAACGTGTTTGCTCTTAATACTGATGACAAGCTGATTAACGAAATATTTACGCTAAAATCTTCATRTTAGTCCTTAGAACGCTTTATATATCAAGGTAAGCCTGTGCTCTATGGTAAGGATAGAAAAATTTCASCAATACGCAAAAATTCTATAGCCTGAATATCAGACGTCTCCTCTGTGTCATGATTGAGAGACGCTAGACAAGCTTGTCTCGATCAGAATACGTTGGATGCAATGATTTCAGTATTTGATCATGGATTATATCAGGTCCAGGTAATACTGTCTGCAATTCTTTACTATATCAGCTATATGGAAGAATGATAATGCTTATGATACTGTAGACCTAATACATGGCCTCCCTATAGAATATCTGATGGATCGCCTACAAGCTGTACAAAATGCCTGTGCCAGTCTTATCATGCTTTCTAAAAAACGTGACCACATTACACCTCTACWTATCGATCTGCACTGGCTTCCTTTTCTATGGAATTCACTTCCATCTTCAGTCAGGGAAGGTACGTTCAGTACCGGGGGGGGGGGGGGGGGATGGGCAAAGCAAGCCACGGATGGGCAAAGCAAGCCACCTAAAGGTTTGATGAAAAAAAGATCGGCTCAGGCTTGTCGGAAAGTCAAAATAACATATAGTTTCAATTATTTCTTTTGTTAGAGTTCATTTCCCTTGAAGAGCAACAAAGATGGTGACTGAAATACTTATTTTGTTGGCCACACTACTGCTCCTGATCTACATCTTCAGCTGGGTTYGTTCATCACGTGGTCTTCCTCCAGGTCCACCACGATATCCATTGATAGGTAGTCTACCAAGTTTGAGAAATGGATCTRTTCCAATCCACAAAACAATCACTGAGATGGTAAAGAAATAYGGAGATGTTCTTACTGTATACTTCCCTACTGGAAAAGGCTGTCAGCCATTTGTTGTCATCAACTCGCTTGAAACTGCTCATGATGCTATGATAATCCAGAAAGATGCTTTTTCAGGCAGGCCTTCAATATTTACTTTTGATTATCTAGCTCGAGGAGGAGAGGGTCTTGTATTCTCCGATTTCACCCACAAGACMGCCTTCATAAGAAAAGTTGTCCTCAAAGCATTGCGGCTCTATCAACCCAGTCTGGAAGGTAAAATACTAGAAGAGGCTGGCGAGATTGTGAAACAATTCAGCTCCTATTCCAATGAACCATTTGATCCTCGAAGAGATTTTAGTTTGGCAATTGTTAATGTCGTCTTCTCCATAATATATGGCAAGCGATTTGAATTGGATGACGAAGAATTTTTGCAATTTAACAGTACTTCCAAGCGAATCGGCCAGCTACTACATCCCTTGAATATCTTAAATTTCTTTCCATTTCTCATCAACTTTCCCATCCCATCTTCAAGGCTGTTACACAATGTTATAGAATACCGCATGAAAACTCGAGAGCCTCGGTATTTCCAGGAAAAAAATACTTTCCAGGAAGGTCAATTTCGCCACCTCGTTGATGCACTTCTTCAAGCCAAAATGGAAGAAGAAAGAGAGCTCAACATATCAAGCAACAATAAACTGACCGACCTTGATCTTCAAGCAACAGTCGACGCTCTTTTTGGAGCAGGTAGCGAGACAACGGCAACGACTTTGAGATGGCTGATAGCTTATGCTTTGAACTTTCCTCAAATTCAAGAAAATCTCCATGCTGAAGTTAAAGAAGTGTTTGGAAACGAAGGATCAATAACGTTGAAGAAAAGAAATGACTGCCATTACTTGGAGGCCACTCTTACTGAGATTCTCCGTCATGCATGCATTGCACCAACGTTTATACACAAAACCACGTGTGACACCACCCTCTCAGGATACAGCATCCCTAAGGACACCGCTGTCCTTCTCAACATCTGGGCCATCAACCACGACGAGCGACATTGGGAAAATCCCCAGCAGTTCAACCCAGAAAGATTTCTGGATTCAGAAGGTCACTTTACTGGTACGACTAGAAAGATGAGCTACATGCCATTTGGAGCAGGACGACGAGTCTGCATTGGTGAATCGTTGGCCAAAACCGAGTTGTTCCTGATATCAGCCACGCTACTACAGAAGTTCAAGTTTGAAACTCCTGTTGGATGCACTCCCCCTGACCTCAGCAAAGAAGTCCTCGGAATTGCCAGAGCGCCCCTACCATTCAAGGTCACCGCCATCAAGCGATAAATCATGAACGTTAAAAACTGAGGCATTTGTAGTGTGCTTTGTCAACCTAGATAAAATGTTTGCTTAACAAAAAACCTTCACAAATATAGGCATTCTATTGTTTTGACGCTAATGATTATGGTCACCAGTTTCTTTTTGGGAGGAGGGGGACCAAASAATTCGTGAGGCGGCCATTTATCAAAAGACGTTTTTCACTGAATTAATGTAGTACTTATGTAAGGACACACTCAAATTGCAAGGATCGTTGTGATTTGCTACTCGTTTATTGGTTCTCATCAAGTACAGTAATAGCACACTATGGTTAATTTGTTCGGCACAAGCTGAGGC